TTTATCTTGCTCTTGCTTACTGAACCAATGAAGAATTCCAGTCTTGGGGCCAGGGAGGAGCCCGGCTGTAAATTTTTTTGACTTCTGCTATAAACAAAGCCTGTCAGGAGAATGCTGTGACTTGATACCCTTTTTAGAAAGAGAAGCTGGCGGACAGAGAGAACCTGCCTCTCTATTCATGTCACTATGTGCCTTGGGAAGAGGAGATTGGGGATTTCTAAATGCAGAGCCTGGGCTGACATCTTTCTGGTAAACCAGAGCCATAATAGTGGAAAGTTTGAGTTGCCTTAAAACCGCAAGGTCTTGGTGATTCTTCAGTGCGGCGGGAACTGGTTCTCTGTCCAGAAGGGTCAAGTTTATACTGTTAGTGGACCTCTTTTTGTCTTAATTTGAAGAGCTTCCACAGTGTGGGTTGAGAGATGGGATTTTCTTGGCACAGTACTCATTTGGGAATGAGTTTGTGCACTCAAATAAATGAATCTGTGTTTTGGAAATGAGCGATTGGTATTATGGATTTAGAGGTATTAATTATGACTGAGTCTATCTCTGAACATTTTTAGACCACTGTTGTCACTGGAAGAGGCAAAGAGGAAATTCAAAAATAAGACGAGGAAAGGAAGTTGTCAGAACCTTAACTTCAGGAATAGAGAATCATATCAATGTAGTGCTGAATTGTAAATATCCAACGGGGAATCCACAGTTAATATTTCATCTCAGCCCTTTTTATTTAAAAGAATGTACTCATTAATTAAAAAGCAAGATGTTATTTACAGCATTTTGATTTTTTAAAAGTCTCCTTAGAATGGTTAGGAGAATAGACCCTCATAGCCTCACTATTGATGGAACTATAAATTGGTGCTAAGTTTCTGTGGTAATATGCGCCAAGAGCCCCCTCCAAAAAATCTACTCTTTTTTGCAGCAATTTAATTTTTAGGACTTTATGTTATGGTGTATTAGGAATGTTATAAAGGTTATATGTTAGTATAAATAAGAAATATTAACATATATTAAATGTTATATATCTTTTAAAGATTTTTTAAAGATTTATTTACTTATTTGAGAGAGAGAGAGAGTTTGTGACCAGGGGGAGGGGCCAAGGAAGAGGGTTAATTACATGGACAATATTCAGGGACACCTGGATGGCTCAGAGGGTTAAGCATCTGCCTTCAGCTCAGGTCAATGATCCCACGGTCCTGGGATCAAGCTCCACATAGGGATCCTTGCTCAGCAGGGAGCCTGCTTCTCCCACTGCCTGCCATTCTCTCTGCTTGTGCTCTCTCTCTCTCTCTGACACATAAATAAATAAAATCCTAAAAAAAAAGAAAGAAAATATTCAGAATATATTACTAAGTTTAAAAAGGCAGAAAAAGAGAATTTATCACTTAATATATTTTTACACACACAGATGCAAACACTAGAACAAAATATCTCAATATGGTAAAGTAGTGTAAGTGGTTATTTTGGGTAATAATAACTAAAGTTCTTCCCCTCATTTCTTCCTGCCTGCCTTCCCTTCCTCCTTCCTTCCTTTCTTCCTTTTTTCTTTCCTTCTTTCTTTCCTCCCTTTCCTCCTTTCCTCACCTCCCTGTTGTCCTTTTTATCTTGATTTCCTCTATATTCCAAGCATTTAGGCTTTTATTTTGTAAGTTGAAGGAATACACTGTTTTATTTTATTTTTAACTTTATCTTATAAAAGCCTACTATTTGGATTTAGGGAGTTTAGGGTGGAAAAAGAAGGGAAAAAATTGAGTCCCTTTCTTTTCTTCTTTATGCCCTTTCCTTTAATATTCCAGTTTCTCTTCCTCCATGGGTGAAGAAGAGAGAACAGGAAAGGGAGGACAAAATTTCCACTGTGTCTTTCAGAAGCGGACCTAGAAGAGCATTCCATTCTGTTCATTTGCCTTCAGGAAATGAATTTTTTCTTAAGATTTATTTATTTATTCAAGAGAGATTGTGCATGGGGTTGGGGGCAGAGGGAGAGGGAGAGTCTTAAGCAGACTCCACGCTGAGTGTGGAGCCCAGCAGGGAGGTGGGCTCAATCTCAGGACCCTGAGATCACCATCTGAGCCAAAATCAAGAGTTGGATGCTTAAATGACTGTGTCACCCAGGTGCCCCAGGAAATGAATTCGCTTTTAAAATTAAATGATTTGTGTTTCTTTTTGCCTTTTCGGATAGTTGAAAGACTGGCAGAAAAACAAGTCCGGTATTTGCTGTATAATTCCTTTACGGTATTTAAATGTTACGCATTTCTTCTACACAACAGGCATGAAGAAATTAGTTTTACCTTGAATGTGTAAAATTAAAATGATTCACAGCTTTTCTTATATGTCATAACATTTTTCTAATAAGTTAATAAATCTAGGCTTTTTAACGTTCAAATTAATGTCTGAATAAAAATCCTCAAGGGCACTAAAAATAAGTCATGTTTAAAGGCCAGAGTAAGAAAAGTAATAACTATCTAAGCCAGCTAACTATGTTAATTCTCAAACTTGACATTGTCTCCTAATGCTGGTCTTGATTTTAGGGAAGGTGCCCAGCTCACTGAAGATTAGAAAATACTGAGAGATCAAACTGGTAGTGGCAGATCGTGCTTATGTTGTACTAACAGCTATAAACAGCCTGATGTGGAGCAGATGGTCTGAGTTTTGAGAATATGAAGCTTGTGGTAGATAAGTGAAATTTATGCTATGGCAAGTATGTTTTCAACCAATCCTTTTTAAAAAGTGAATCCTGTCATCACAATCATTATAGGTGCTTCAAGCATTTCATTTCAGGGGAAAATGATGGTCTGACCGAAATTTTAACTTTGCATTTTAACTCATTTTCATGCTGCCAGGGTCCCAGATTGAAAACACCAGCGAGGCTGAGCCCAGGAATTAGGCAAGTCTGAGTCTGTCTGGAGGGTGACTGAAGTCATGGCAAGGAGAAGGGCTGAGAGTTTTGGGGAGTCTTCAGGATTTCTAGCAGTGATTTCTAGTTGGTTCAGTGGCAAGAAAAGCCACCATCAGTGAACAGAAGCTTGGGGGATAAGGACCAAGGTGGTGGGCACTGCAAGAACAAGTGCTTTGAACACCTATGACAAACATGTGTCAGGATGGGTGTCCCAAAACTATGTGAGGACCTTAAGGCATTTGATCCTATAGACGCTGTGGATTTATACTTTTTTGTATTCATTATTGTTACTGTAGTCTTACTTTTAGCCTGTTGTCACCTGGAAAGCACAGATTACTTTTATATCTCTTTTGAAAGAATAGAGGAATAGTTATCAGATGGCAAACACAAAAAGCACAATAAATGTAGGCTTCTTGTCCCTGTCTTTAGAACATTAAACAGTAGAGGTATCATTTGGAGAAAACAGAAGTTAATAGGAAACTAATTAGCTAAAATGGGAGAAGAAAAAAAAAAAACCACCCTTGAATAGCATTTATTCTTCCAAATAACAATTCTTCATCCTTGGGTCAGACTGTTAAATGAGGTGGCATTTCGACTGATTGATTGGATTCATACCTCTAGGGTGCAACTGAGTGCCAGACACAAAGGATAGAAATGTGCTTGGATGTTGGGCTGCTTTCTTAAAGTATTGCATACTATTGCATAGTTAGCTGCCTTTCTAGCATTTGTAACTGATTTGGAAAATATTTTAGAACAAACCAATAACAACTTCAAGATAAAATAACGCTACACACTTCACAACTCCTTCCTATTATATGAATGTGTAAATTGAATTCCCTTTCAAGATGCAAAAACAAGGGTTGGCTTCCCCAAAGTGTTTTCATTGGCTTTAGGGAACTAAAACACACCAGTTTGGGTGACTAATACTTCCTGTAAAATAAAGATAGATTAACACATAATTAAATTCTGGCTCAAATGTAATTGTTGTCTTGGAAACAGTTTGGGGGATAAATACAGTTATGCTAATTTAACTAACTCCTCATGATTCCCACCAATGATCTAGTTTATTAATTAGGCCAGGCCATCTTACTATCTCCTGTTATCTATTTTGTATTATTTAAAGGGTTAAAAATAAAAGTTCCTAAGAAAGCACTTAATAGGAGGGAACAAGATAAATCTTAAATTAGTTATTTGTCAGACCTCAAAAGGACTTCAGTTGGAGGAGTAGGTTAAAAGTACGTTTGGCTTATTTGTGAGTTCCAAAGATCCCTCCTACCCCCAAAGGCAGAAAACAGAGTTAGTACATGCAACACTTTTAACGAACAATTCCTGGCGTTATTTCTTTGAACTCCCTGTCTGGAGGATTTAAAATTCGATGGATCCAAGAGAAACCACAATCTTAAGTGGCCCGTGTTTTCTAGTTTCTGCTCTGAGTATACGGTGATTTTGTACGAAGTTCTACTTGGTGCGTAGCCTGAAGGGTTTTGTTGAGGCCGAGTGTGAACTCCGGGCGCGAGAGCGCATCTCGGCTCTTAGATCACACCCACTCGGGTGTGCGTGTGAGTGAGTGCGCGGGTGTCTGCGCGCGTGTGTGTACGTGTGGGGAGGTGTGCGCCAAGGGGGTGGGGTGAGGGGCAGCGAGGAGGGCTCTAGGTGAAGCAGGAGCAGAGGGAGGTCGCCTGCTCCGGCCTCTCCCCCAGGGGCCGCCGTGGCTCGCTCGCGCTCCGGCTGCACCTCCCGGTGCGCGCCGCGGCGGCGCCACAGGCCCCTGGACCCTTCGACCAGCGCCCTCCGGCCGCCCGTCCCGCACGGCCCGCAGCTGGGACCGGCGATGGCGCGGGACTGACGGCCGCCTCCCTTGCCCGGACCCTCTGCCCCGCCCGGAGGCACGCGGGGGCCCCGGCACCGCCCCGACCTGCATGAGGGGCGGGCGCGCCGGCGCCCGGAGCGAGCGGCCCTCGGCGCCCCAGAGGCGGTCCCCAGCCGCGCCGGAGGACGAGGAGGAGGAGCAGCGGAGCGGGCCGGGCTCTCCGCCTGCCGCGGCCCGGGAGCACGGGCTCCCCGGAGGGAGCTCGGGGAGTCCCAGCCCCGGAGGAGGGACCCGGAAGCAGAAGCGGAGCCGCGAGTCGAGCCGAGCCGCTGCCCCCGCTGCCCGCCGGCGCCGGGTGGGGGTCCCGGCGGCTGGATGGGCAGCGGCGGCGCGGGCCGCGGGCGGCGATGGGCGAGGAGCAGAGCACGGTGAGCGGCGGCGGGCCACAAGAGGTGCGGGCCCCCGCTGGCGGCGCCACAGGCCACCCCGAGCCCCCGAGGCCGCGGGGGGACAGCGCCGGGGAGTCCGGGCCGCACGCCGCCTCCGCGGAGCCGAGCGGCGGTGGCTGCGGAAGCGACTCGGGCTGCGCGGACACGAGCGCCCCGGAGCTCGAGAGCAGCCGGTGGGGCCCGGACGGGAGGAGGAGCCGAGCGCCGGGGCAGCCCGCGGGACTGACACTTACCGGGCCCCTCAACCCCCAGACTTTGCAACGGCAGCTGGAAGAGGAGGAGGAAGCTGGGGACCGAAACCAGGGAGGGGATGAACAGCGGGACGCGCCCCCAGGCGAGGAGCGGGAGCCCAGGACCCGCGTCGGGGCCGCGGACGGACTGGTCCTGGACGTGCTGGGTCAGCGGCGCCCAATCCCCGGCAAGAGACAAGTTTTTTGCTCCGTGTTCTGCGTGGAGAATGACCTGCCCGAGGCCCCCACCGCGGAGCAGCTCTCGCCGCCCGCGTCTTCACCTCGGGCTCCGCCGGTGACGAACGCTCCCAGCACCCCCTCCTCTTTCCCCAGCCCCCGGCTGTCCCTCCCCACAGACCCTCTGACCCCCGACGGCGGCAGCATCGAGCTGGAGTTCTACCTGGCGCCCGAGCCGTTCTCCGTGCCCAGCCTCTTGGGAGCTCCACCCTACTCTGACCTGGGTGGGGTAGGGGATCCCTACGTGCCCCTCATGGTGCTGATGTGCCGGGTGTGCCTGGAAGACAAACCCATCAAGCCCTTGCCCTGCTGCAAGAAGGCCGTGTGTGAGGAGTGCCTCAAAGTCTACCTGAGCTCCCAGGTAACTTTCCCCTTTCTGTCCCTTCTTCTGTCCCCCTGGTTCAGCGTTTCAAATGCCTGCTCCCAGCTCACAGAAGAGGTGATGGGACAGCCTTATCAAGAACCACTGTTAGACAGCTTCTCACATCTCATAGTTGTTTGTCGTTGTAATATTATTTGTGTTGACCTCACTGTCTCACTTAACTGGAATTTACTCTGCATGAGCTTCGGGCTTCGGTGGAGGGAACCGGCTTACAATGTATTGTCCTCTGCTTCTTTCTTTGACTAAACTGCAAGCAAGAGCTCCCTCAAAAAGGAGGGCAATGAGAGTGCCTCGTGGGCCTGGTCTTCCAGAAACTAACAAATAGTGGGCACCAAATACTGTAAATACCTATCGAGTGGGTGAAGAGAAGGGTTGGAATTAATATTTCAGGTCCTCGAGGACTGAATTTTTAGTTTTGCTCTATTTATATATTCCAGAAAAGTTTTATTTATGTTTTCGTTCATTCGCTTATTTATTCATTCATTTATTCACTCCTTGGCCCTTGCCCACTTAGCAGTTTTCTTATTCTGCTGTAAAGCTGAAGTGCTTCTCCTCACTGAAGTTTTATGCCAGCACAGTACTTTATTTCTTTAAGAGGGAACAAAACAGAGCAAAACAAAGCAAAGCAAGGCTAAGAGGTTTAACAAAAAAAGCCCTGGTGGAACTTTCTTCCTCAGCTCCCTATTGGAAAGCTTGTTTTTTTTTCTTGGAAAGCTTAAGAGTGCAACAGAGCAGCTTTCCTTCACTGATGGTGAATGAGTTCTTCCAGCAGTGTGCAGTCTGTTTTGTTTCTGTCAGTGTTGTGCACAATCTGGAATGCCCTTTGATCCCCTGTTTGACTGTCGTAGGCCTAGTCGTCTTTCAAAACCCTGGCTGTTCAGATGCCAGCTTTTTTCCGTGAAGTCTTACCTCACCCTTCAGGCCACTGCTTCTATACTTTAAAAGTACTCCTGTGTGTCTTGGATGCACAGAAGTTGTTCCTTATATATGTGTTTGTTTTGCCAGACAGTGTGGTTGGGGTTTGATAGTTTTCTGTCGAGTCCCTTTCCCGTTAAGAGTGTTTAATAACATTGGCTCAAGTGAACGGAACAGGATGCCACACGGTGCAGTTCTTCTGTGTTTGGTGGGTAATCCGTGCTGGTGTCTAGACCGAAAGTGTGTGCTCTGCCCAACCAGAAATGCAAAGGGAAACTTGGACAGAATGGAATGTTACACAAACACTAACTTGGCCAAGATGGTTGAGATTATCCAAACGCCTGTAAGAGACTGGTGTCTCTTTTATGGTTTATCCACAAACAGATACTTAAAACAGGAGGAATGTCTGCTCTCATTGTGGTAGTTTCTATGACATCATCGGCAAACAGATATTGGTGCCATCCGTGTGCAGATCCCTGTGGTGGGATTCATACATTCCCAAAATATGGGCCCTGCTCCCAGGAAGTGACTGGGAGAACAGATGTGTACACAGGAACAATACAAGGTAGCGTATAATGAGATGTAAACAAGTCGCAATCCTTAAAGGCTGGATACAAATTCAGTGGGTTTAGAAGTTCAAGGGAGGTAGTCCTATGGGTTGGGGTATTCTGCGTTGCAGTTTGATTTCCTGAATTAAGGTAGACCCTTTCCCCAAAGCAGATTAAGTTAATTTTAGGAAGTCAATATTTTGATCTCTAATGGAGAAGAGAAGGAATGGGGAATGGAAGGGTGGCAGGGTGCATGCAGTGTCGTATCATACAGAACCACTAAAAACTTCCTCAGAACTGGATGTGAAGCTTGTCTGTAGTAATTGTGACTCTGTGAATGTACCACAGTATTGGACAGAACTTTCAGTGAAGAAAAAACATACTTTATTTAAAATAATAAATAAGAAAATTATGAGTCAGGCAGGCCAGGCATACTTCTACCTCAGGGCTCTTGTATTTGTTGTTCCTGGTGCCTGAAATATCCCCCTAGAGACCTTTCCTTTTGCTTGCTCACTCCTCCCCCTTCTCTCTTTCAGATCTCTATGCAAATGTCATCCAAATGGCCTTCACTGGCCACTCCTTTTAAAGTGTAGCCTCACTCCACACTCTGATCTCCTGTTCTGCTTTTTATTTTCTTCATAGTGTTAACCCACTCAGTTATACTTAAAAAAATTTATCTCCCCGGAGAGGAATTTTCACAGGATTTGTTCACTGCTGTATCTTTAGCACCCAGAATGCTGTTGGATATAGAACATAGAACATAGAGCATAGATGCTCAATTAGTAGTTATTGAATTTAGGAAGAGCTGAGGGACCGAGAGGATGTGATTATCCCAAGTAAGGTAACCATGGCCAAAAAGTGCTATTCTGCTTGGGCACTAAATTCTACTCTGAGCTTCTTAGGTTTAAGACAAAAGACAAAGTCTTACAGCAGACAGAAAGAATAGGTCAGCTGAGTTTACTATTAAACTTAGAATTAAAGATTTTTTTAGACAAACTTTTAGTTTAAATGAAAATGGCTTTTTTTTTTTTCCAGTTAGTTGAATAATGTAGGCCTGTGGTTGTAATATTTCTGGTCTACGTTAATTCAAAAGGTGTGTGTTTCCATGTCACTTAACCTCTCTTCTGCCTTAATTTCCTCATCAGTGAAATAGAGTTGCAGGCCATGATCTCCAATGACATACCAGCTCTAAAGCAAAACAAAATCAAACTACAGAGTTGTTTTGTTGCCTTCCTGAGTCAGTTCAAAAGGGCACAGTGAGTGCTTGCTTTCTCAATTTATAAGATTTCTTGGGTTTGACAGACTAAAATCTATGAAGCCTGAACTTGCAGGGCTCTTAAGACCTTTTAAGATAAAATGACATATTTGAAAGAAGTTATTAGTGACATTTTCCACCATTTTTTGAATTCGTGTCAAATATCACATTATTTAACATTAAAGAAAATAAAGGAGAGCCTCTATTAGGCATTTTATATAAACATTAAAAATTCATACTAAATGGGAGTTGGGATATGGCCTGGTTAAATTAACGTTCTTCTAAAAGGAGATGCTGAGTTCTTTGAAGGAAGGTACAAGCTTGGAAGGTAAGAACACAGATTTTCAGATGATGTCTTATTTCCTTGAGCCACCATGGGCTCAATATGTAACAAAGGCCGATGAGTGTATGTGGGCATTATTTCAGTACTGAAAAAGTAGATTAAGCCGTGACTTAAATACTTACATACTGTGCTTTAGAAATATTAGCCTTATTTTTCAAAACATAATTTTTCTCCCACCATCACCATGATGGCCTGCAGGAAACCCCCTTAATGGAATGACTTTACTGTGCAGTAATGCACCATCCACTTTTCACTTGCCATGGTGAAGGGCTAAACGGCTAAATTATAATCTTTGGCACTACATAGGTGTTGACTCAGAAGCTCGAGAGCACCATGACCTAGTGGAAGCTACATTAGTTTATATTGCCTGGGTACATAAATTGTCAATATATACATTTTAGAAGTATTTCCCCGTGACCTCTGGCGAAAGCACAGAGTCCCAGGGACGTCTGCAGTCTCCTGCAGGTCACTGAGCTCTTGTAAATGTTGACCTTCTCAGCTGGTTTGGCCTCTGCCTCATCTTCTTAAGAGGAAAGATTGTTGCCTCTTTGTCTCAGAGAATGATATTGTGCTTATTTCAGAAATCCTCCATTGATATCTTTCCCTTGTGATTTGGGTTATAGACCGGAAAATCTGCTATAATATGAAGTATTAATATTTAGCTCTTTAGATAAAGGAGAGAATTGGGCATCCTAAGGACTGTCTCAAGGTACCAGCTGTCGTGGCTTTCATCACTCAGCTTCAAAGGGCTCCCAATTGGCAGATGTATTTGAGTTGGAATGTATACACCTGTCAAATGAGTATTAATAGAGACAAGCAACACATTTCTTTTACAGATTGTGAACAAAACAGCTGCTAGATGGTGATGTCTTCAAATGGCAGTCTACTATAGTCACCCTAGAATCAGTGACCTAAGGGTGACATCTTATGTATCCTATTATTAAACTCTGAGTCATGCAGACCTTTACGGGTACAAGTGTAACCTACTTTTTTCCCTTTAAATCTTAAATCAGCCTGTATATTTTTAGAAAGTAACGTGCTCAAGATGGAGTTTGAATGCAGCCACCTTCACACAGGTGAATTTACAGATCCTGTCACACCAGGTGTGATTTTGATAGTCCTGAACATAAGAAGAATAATGAGACTGAAATCTGTTAAATCATTCTACACATTTGAAAAGTGAGGGTTAAGGCCTGTGTCAGCCTAGGCTTTTGTGCACAGAATTTGCGTGTGTGTGCTCACAGGTAAATTTGAAGGGTGCGGTAACATTCGCTTTCACACCTCTCTAACTCAAGCCCTCATTTCTCTCTTCTGTCTCTTTAATAATGTCTCTCATAAGACATTTCTCATTTCTCTTTTTAGTCTATCATTTCTCTTTAATAGTCTCTTTTTTTCTCTTACCTCTCAAAATCTGACTTTAACTGGCTGCCTTCTGCAGAGGAATCTCCTATAAGGGCTGTGCTGCACACCAGCGGGACCTCGTCTGTGAGCCGCCTGGCTTTTTCCCTTCCCGCCTCTTCCAGCCGTCTGCAGATGGGGCTTCGAGGAGGAACGCGCCATTGTACTCCATGGCCTAAGATCTCAAATGACATGACAGATAGTACTACTTACCCAAGGCGTCAACTGAAACCTTTAGAGTGGGGATATTTTTTTTTCCTTCCTAGAGAAGAGCTCAGCTTTTATACAGGAAGGCTCTTCCTTACTCTTGATGTGAGAGAGAGAAAAAGAAGAGCATTAGGACTTAAGCTCCCAGCTTCTTATTACGAGTCTGTCGTGGGCGCTGCCGACAGACCCCTGAGTGGTAATCTCTTATAATTAATGTATTCATGTATTAGTGTACCCTTTATGCATATAACAAACATCTCCTGGGTACCAGTAGGCCAAGAACCATGAGATACTCTATAAATGCATTAAATTC